CACGGGCTCTGGGCTCCGGCAGTGGCAGGGGAGGCAGGGTGGGACCCCAGCGAGCCCTGGGCTCCAGCAGGGACACGGAGGCCACGGGTGAACCCCGAGCCAGCAGAGCAGCCCAGCCCGCCCGGGAGCAGGGTATGAAATAATAACGAGAGCAAGGCACGGCAGCGCTGGCTCCCTCTGGCATGTTTTATTTACAGCAGCGATCCTGGCTGGAGCAGCCCTGGCTCCCCAGGAGATGTGTGTGGGGCTCCCTGCTGCCCTGGGCACAAATGTGGGGAGAAAAAGGGAAAACACCTCGTGTCCCTCACAGCAGGGACCACAGGGAGAGCAGCCAGGGTAGCCGTGGGTCAGTGCTGGGGTCATGCTGCCCCGAGTGCCGTGGGGACCTGCTCTGCATGGGGCAGCTCTCAGCTATGGCAGGCAACTTCTCTTCATCTCCCTTGTCACCTCATTTCCTGCTGGAGGGGGCAGAGCTGCTCCCAAAGCCTCTGGATAAGTCCCAGAGCCTCCCGGCAAGGCAGAGTTGCTGTGGGAAAGGTCTCTGACCCCTCCAGCCCCTCTGGCAGCTCTGCTGCTGTTCAGGCCCACCAGCTCAGCCCGTGGGACCTGCTCCATGCCCACCAAGAGCTTTTTCTCCCTGCAAAGCCCAAAGTGCCAGCACAGCCAGAGCAGAGCGGGTGAGCTGCCACCCGATCCCATCGGCTCCTGGTCTCCCCCCACCTCCCCTCCTCGTTACACCTGCAGGACAGAGGCTGTGATTTTCCCCTGACCCTGGCCACAGCTGTCACAAGGAATTGCAGGGCTGGCAGCAAACTGCAGATTCAGAGAGACAAAGACTACTTTCCCCAGAAACGAGGGGAAAATTGCTGCATCTGCAAAGATTTCCCAGGCCCTGTCCCCTCCCGTGCACATCTATCTGGAGTGACACCTTCCTTCAAGCACCCTTCATTTCCTTCCATCTCACGCAACCATTTGCATTAAGGTGACCCCAGCTGCAGCGGGGCTGGCTGGGGGGCTGAGGACCCCCCGCCAGCCCCCGGGAATGCTCTGGGTTCCTCCCCCTCTCCATGGAGTGAGGCTGCAGATGCAAAGAGCACTGGATGGTTGGGAAGCCACCTGCAGGGAGCTCTGTGAGGAGACAGCCCCAGGCTCAGCCCCTCGGCACAGGTTAAAAAGAGATGTCAAAGGCAATAAGGGAAGCTCTGGGCAAGCAGGGGGTTGAGGAGTTTGCCTGGTGTGTGTAGGCACAGAGCCCTGGCTTGGGGGCACAGGGGACACCCAGGAGCAGCAGGATGGTGGCAGGGAGAGGTGGGAGATACTCATCACTCAGATCCTTCTGTGGACACCCAGGACCTGGGCTCAGCTGGGCCCCTCAGCACCCTGCAAGCACAGAAGTGACAGGAGGGGTGGCTGCTGACCACAGGCCAATGTTTGGTGGTTTGGGATCTACAGAGTGATCAGGGACCTGTCCCTGTGGTTGTCCTGGCTGTGACAGCACCCTCATCTCCAGGACTTTGTGCCCTCCCCTGCTGCTGCTCCCCGCAGTGCTGCCATGCCCAGGGGCACATGGAGGAGCTGCAGAGCCCGAGGGTCCCCTCTGAGCAGTGAGAGCTCCCAGAACAGAGCCATGGATGGACGAGGCTCTGCTTCCCACGGCCACACAAATCCCAGCTGGGCTGTAGCACACCAAAACCTCGCAGCTCTGCCCAGGTGTACCACCACACTGGGAGCTTATCCGGCTGTTTTCCAGCCTTCGAGCCCCAGAATCCCTGCCTTCCCACCAGCAGCAGGAACTGGGGGCCAATCCCCTTCCAAAGTGGTCCCCCCTGCTTGCAACAGCAAGATCCTGAGTGGCAGCAGCTTCAGGAGTCCCACGGCATTTTGCTGGCAGGTTGTGTTACCTGGCAACCTGCAGTGGGGAGAGGAGGCAAACTCAGCCAGTGGCACCAACAGCACTCCAAACTGGGGTGGGGGTCCCGCCAAGCCCCTCCAGCAAAGCAGCACTGCAGCAGCGTGCCCAGCTCTGGACCCTGCAGATCCCCCGGGCCACACGCTCCTGCCTCACCATGACCACAGCTCTCATGATCCCTAGGGCTGTGTGTTCCATGGCCTCAGGCTCCTGGAATTCTTGCCAAGACTTTTGGACAGCTGTACGACATCCCCCTGCCCTGGTTAGTGTCTCCTTCCTAGGGAGAGCAGAAGCTGTGAGACTGAGTGGTGATTGGGATGAGCAGATCTTCACTTGCAAACCTGCTCTGGAGGCTGGGAGGGGGCTTCAGGCAGGATCTAGGGCATGGTGGTGTCCCTGGTGAGACAGGCAGTCCAAGCCCTGCACTGGCACAGGGAGTAGATCTACACTTGGTCACCCATGGGGGCTGGGACCTTGGTGACCCAGCCACACTTTGTGAGCAGCTCTGGACCTCATCAGGACCCTCAAATCATCCGCCAGCCCACTGAGCCAGCCAGACTAGCTGCTCTGGGGATGGGGACAAGCAGCTCCAGCACATGCAGCCTGTGGGAAGGGAAGGACAGAAACCGGCTTGTCCCTGGCGCAGCCAGAGGCAGCTGGTCCCCGGAGAGTGGGGGCAGGAGAGGCTGAGCTCTGCCCTGGGAGATGCTTTAAGATGAGGAGGTGCCCTTTGCTCCTGCCAAAATCCCTGCTCCTCTCCAGCTCAGCAGACCAGCTGCTGCTGTGGGATGGGGAACAGCAGTCCTGCAGCCTGGCTGCTCTGCCCCCGGGCTGTGCCCTCAGCCAGGGACGAACCAGAACCTGTGTTCTGCTTCCCAGGCAGGTGGACACTGTGGTTTGCATCGCCCAGCCTCAGCAGCTGGTGCAAACTTTAGTCCAGGTACCCGCACCTTCCTGCCGGGGTCCACCCAGCGCTGCAGGCGCCCCAGGGCAGCGAGGCTCCGTCCCCCTCCCCGAACCTATGGCTCATTCAGAGCTGCCCGAGCAGCTCAGTTCGCATCCTTGCTCCGCTCCGCTGCTCCGTCCCTCTCCACCCTGGCTGCCCATCCCGCCCCGCCGCTCCGCCTGCCTGGGGGCTGCAGCCCCCGGCCCCTCGCCCCGGGCCGGGGCTGTGTCCCCGCCGCCCCCCCGCTCCCCGCGGGCACGGAGCGGGTCAGTGAATCCCGCTCCCGTTTTCCTGCTCTCCTCCATCACCCAGAGCCTGCCCGCGACCGCTCCCACGGCGCGCCGCACGCTGCGGATGGGGAAGGGGAGAGGAGAGAGGACGGGGAGGATGGCGAGCGCTCTGTGGGTGAGCACGCAGAGGGCTGGGATGGGATTCCAGCGGAGCTGCGGGAGCTGGGACCGCGGCCCCGGCTGCACGGCAAACTCTGTGCATCCTTTGAAAGCCATCCGGCTCCGCGCTGCGCTCTCCAGCCCCCCGCGGGTGGCGGGGCTGGATCCATCCTGCCCGGGTCGCCCCCGGGGCCACAGGACCGGGGGGATGGCAGCTCGGAACGGGTGGCACTGCCCGAATCCCTGCGTGCAGGGGCTGTGCACAAGGAGGGAGCTCTCCAGGGAGGGGAGGGCAGGCTGATCTGCCTCTCGGGGGTCAGGGGTCTCCCGGGCTGCCAGCCCCTCTCCAGTGGGGCGCGGAAGCTGCTCGCAGAAGGGGAAGTCAGGCAGAAACCCCTCTCTTGCCTTGCTGCGGGTGTCAGGGGACAGGAAAGTGGCGGACCCAGCATCGAGCGTGTCTCACGGCTACTCCCCCCATCGTTGCCCAGCTCCTGGGTTCCGAGGAAGGGCAGCACTGCCAGCTCTCGTCCCCTTCCCTTCGCTCACAGGCTCGCTGGAGATTTGCTGTCCTCCAGCTCTTCGCAGACACGTTTGCCCATACTCCGCACTCCTTCTTCCCACCCTGCCCGCGCTCAGCGCATCCATCCATGCCTGCGCCTATCCCCACAAGTGTCCAGGGCCAGGCTGGATGGGGGTCTGAGCAACCTGATCGTGTGGAAGGTGTCCCTGCCCGCGGCAGGGGGCTTGGAACCGGCTAATGCCTCATGTCCCTTCCAAGCCGAGCCGTCCCGGTCTCCTCGGGCTCCCTACCTGCTCGGCGGCTGGCGGAGCTGCCACACGTGCAGCGGGCTGTGAAACGGGCTCCGGCACGTGCCGATCCCCCGCGTGTCACCGCGGCTCCGCCGCCGCTCCCGCACCCCGCCGCAGCGCCGGCCTCCCCCGGAACCCCGCGGGGCTCCCGGAGGTGCAGAGCCGGTCCAGCGGCCGGAGACCCCGAGCCGGGAGGGATGGCTCCGGCTGCGGCGCGGAGCCGAGATGCCCAAATCCCCTCTAAAGGGTTATTTAAGCAGTTTCGAGCGTGTAGCGGTTCAGCAGAGGCGTGTGGCAGCCCCGGAGCATCGCCCGCTGCCCGGCGGGGCAGCCCCGGGGCTGGGAGGGAGCCCTGGCCGCAGGTTAATTAACACATTGATTGGGAGGGGGCGAGGAGGTGCAGCCCGGGGGGCTTCGCACAGGGATGGGGACGGAGGGCAGCTCGCCACGCTGGGGTGCGCCGGGAGAAAAGCTCGCTGGGGACACTGGGGGGTCGCTGGGACCCCCGGGCTGACTGACCCCCCCCTGCCCCCCTTGCCCCCCGCCCCGTACCTGCGATTTCTCCTGCTGCCCATCCTCAAGTTGCGAGGCTCCTCCCACGGTTTTCCAACGCTCGTTCCCCATCGCGCCGCCAACTTCCAGCCCAAGTAAGTGCCCGGACCCCCAAAAGTCCCCCCAAACCTCCTCCCCGGCGGCGCAGCCCCCGGCCCGCCCGCGCTGCCCGGCTGGCCGCGGCGGAGGACGGGCGGCGGCGGCGGCGGCGGCGGAGGAGGAGGAGGAGGAGGGAGGGAGGAAGAGGAGGGAGGGAGGACACGGGCACGGACACGGGGGTGGATCTTCCCTCCCCGCCCGCCCCGATCCCCCCCGGGGCTCCCCCGGCCCCGCTCCGGGCACCCCGCCCGGTGATGCCCTGGGGGATCTCCCCGGCCCCCCCAGCACCGCCCGCCGCCCCCCGGCCGCCCCAATCATTCCGGACCCGGAGCCGAACCCCTCACTCCAGCCCCCGGCTCTGCAGCTGCCCAGATGTGGCAGCACAGCTGGAGGAGCTGCAGCAGGTAAGGCAGGGGCTGGTAGCAGCGGGATCGGGGGTGCTGCAAGGGCCCGGGGGGGAGAGCGGGGTGTGCCCTCGGAACCCGCTCACCCCCTTCCCAGAGAGACGCCCCTACATCCTCCGGGGGAACACCCCGAGCTGGTGAGGCTCAGTGCCATCGGTGGGCAGGGATGGGCAGGGTGCTGGGCGGGGGAGGCGGAGAGGGTGGCATTGCCATCGCCACCCCCCCAAACCTTTGTGCCCGGGGGTAGCCAAAGTGCTGGGAGGCTTCTCCGAGCAAATCCCAGCGCACTCGGGGAAGCTGCTGCTGGCGGGGCGAGGCAGCAGCCGCCCCCACCCCCTCCAGGGTCACAGCGATGCCCAAACCCAGCGTTCCCAGCCCAAAGCCGTGGAGCTGGCCCTGCGTGCCAGGGCTCCCTCCCGGCCTGATGTGCCGCCGCTCCCGTGTGGATGTGGTTTTCCTTCCCATAGCTTTGCCGCACCTCCCGTAAATCTTTTATTTGCCACTTGTCTGACCTGCGGGCAGGAGCGCTGCTGAGAGGTTCAGAGGAGCATCGTGAGAGCAGCGATGGCTCAGCTCTGCTTCAATCCGGCTGGGGGGAGGCTGAGTTCTCTCTCCAGGCTGAGAATCCCCTGGGAAACCCCCTGGGCAGCCCTGCAGCCCCTTGTCCTGCAGCATGAGGCTGTCCCCTGGGCAGGTGGCATCCCCAAACCCCCCTGGGTCTCTGTCCCTGGAGCTCAGCCCCGGTCGGGACCTCCCAGCAGCTCCTATGTGGCTTCACTGGGGTGGGGGCTGCCTGCCTGTGCGGGCAGGTGTGGCACAGGGGTGGCAGTTGCATGTGTGGGGGACGAGGGGCTCAAGCAGCTTTTCTCCAGGGCACACAGCCTATTTTGGGAACAGCTGGGTGTGTGCTGGGCTGGGCTCTGTGGGGCGGGGAGGGGAGCACAGGCGCTGCCTCAAGCCGTCCGTGCCCGTGTGTGTGTGTGTGAGGTGTGTGCGCTGTCTCCCGGCCAGGTGCAAATCCTGCCTTTGGCTGCAGAGGTGTTTTGTGTGGATTTAGCGGGTGATGCTCGTGGCTGGCAGCCCAGCTCCTTCCCCATGGACGGTTTTCAAGGACTTCCCTTTGCAGCTGAGGCCGGCCAGCTCGGGCCGCTGGTGCTCGGTGTGCCCACACCAGCCGGGCTCAGCTCCTGCTCCGCTCGCCCGTGCTGGAAGCGGGAGGCGCTGGCCCCCGGGAAGCAGTTAAAGCTGAACTCCAAACAATAAAAACTTATCATTAAAAAGAAATGCATCTTGGCTTCATGTGGCCTGGCAGCGCGGGGAGGAGTGATTCAGTGGCTTGTCAGCCTTGGGCGTTAGGCACGCCGAGCTGCACAACTGGACATTCTCCAAGTCCAGCAACTCATTTTCTGCAGATGGAGCCGGGACCGTGCAGCGGGGCTGACGGTTCATTTGCAATCCAACACACCTTGACATAACCCACAGCCGAATGGCGGAGGTGGTGCGGGATGGGATGCCTGGGCTGTGCCAGCAGGGCTGGCCCCTCGCAGCCAGCTCAGAGGTAAGCAGGCTGTGAAGGGGAGGAATATCAGGAGATGGCAAAGATTCCCAAAAGAGGCTCTTACCCCAGATATGTTGGTTCAGCTCTCTTTATTCTGTGGTGTCCAAGGGGAGAGCGGGGCAAAAGAGGACGAACAGGAAATGTCGGGGGTCTATATAGACTTTGGACAGGGTGGGCTTCCCTGGCTCTCTGCCAACCCCGTTGGGGCAGGAAGAAGGGGTCCAGGATTATCTGATCAGAGTCACAGGGTCTCGGGGAAGGGGCAATAGAGTGCCCATGAGCTCACTGTGACACTGCGGGGTCCCACTCGGTCCCAGCGCCGCCCCAGGTGCTGGTCTCCCAGCAATGGGGTGAGCAGGATGGATGTTGCCACCCTGGCAGAGGGGTCCGTGTTTTTGGGAGCTTGAGTGATGCTCAGGGGCCAGCAGGGACACTGGCCTGGCTCATCACTGACTTAGGTTGAGCCGTGTCACCTCCTGTTACCTGTCATAGGGGCTGGCTGTAGCTGTGGAACTGGGACATGGGAAGGGCGTCCACGGCCAGCTGAGACCCAGGGCCCCACAGCCCCGGGCCCGGCTCCACAGGCTGTGTCCGGAGGGACTGGGGGCTCAGGGTGCCCCTTGCCTTGGGCACACGGTGGTGGCTGGGCACCGATGGGCACAGCCCCTGCCCCGGGGCTGACAGGGAAGGGGGTGACGAGGGGGGTCTGCCAGCAGCCCAGCACGGATCGATAGGCATCGGAGAGGATGATTCATGTCTCAGGCTGTGGCCCGAGGGCAAAAACGGGGAGAGGTTTGATGTGAGGATGCCGGGAGGCTGCGGGTCCTGCCGGGAGCTGCGGCTCCTGGCAGCGATTCCCCTCCCGGAGCCGCTCTGCCCGCGCTGCCCCGGGGTCCCGGCTTGGCCTGGGGGAAGAAAACCACCAAAGCAACACAGGATCAGACCCAAGCTCTGAACAGAGTCTTTTAAAACACTTCAGACGCTCTCCTCTACGTTGTGGTCCTAGACAGCGAGCAGAGTTGCAGCGGGGGTGACGGGCAGAGGCTGGCTCGGGTCAGCGCTGTGCCCCCCGTGGGGACAGGACGCTGCAGAGAGCGGGACAAGAGGGTGGCACTTTGCCCTCCTTGTGTCCTGCCGCGCTTGGTGCGCATCCCCGGCGTGCCAGGGCCAGAGCCGCTGAGAACACCGATGTCCCGTGGCTCCAGCCCAGAAAGGGGCTGTGTGGAGCATCAGGACAGAGGGAAAGGCTGGGGCGGGGGGACCCCGAGCCCTCCCCGGGGACAGCGTGTGCTTTCCTTGGCAGGGAGCCCGGGGAGGCAGAGCCGTCGCTGCACACGCACGGCGTCAGACATCATCATCGTATTAATAATGAAAGGGCAGCTCCTTCAAAGCTCTTCGTCCCCGCGCCGGCGAGAGCGCAGAATGCAGAGGAGGAGCGTGAGCCTCATCCCAAGCAGCCGTGGGAGAGCGCTGCGGTGCCCGGATGGTCCTTCGCTGGTCCTTCACCAGGCCACGGACCCGCAGGGACAAAACCCTGCCCTGGTCCCGCTGGCTGCTGGCCCTGCTGGGAGTTTGGCTGCTCTGGGGGTCCCTGCACAGGAGCAGGGCAGCCCAAGGTGCCCCCAGCTCCTGCTCCCAGCACTGCCCTGTGCAGGCTGCCCTGTGCCCCTCGTTCAGCAGGAAGGGTCGTTCTGGCTGCCAGGGAAGGAGCCCCTCTCCCAGGGGCTGAGTGCTCTGTCCATCGCTGAGTGACACGGCAGGACACCGCTGCTGTGTCAGGGCCTTTCTTCCACGGGAGGAATCGATGGCTCAGACAATGAGACAAACCACCCACAAAGAGGTCTTGGGCTGCAGCCCACACAGGGTCAGTGGCATCACTTCTGTTCTTCTCCCTGCAAGATATTTGGGGTTCCAAAACCCCTCCTTTAACACCCCCATTTTGTCTGGAACACCTTCAAGCCTGGTTGTACTTTGTGGGGGTCTCAGCAGGACCAGACCAGTGCTGAGCATCTTTTCTCCTCTCTCCCCTCTGCCAAACCCTCTCCTCCACTTTTGCCCCTTTTGCTGCAGATGCCGTGGTCTGGGGAGGAAAGAATGGAGCCCTCTGTGCCAGGTGGAGATGGAGCACCCACGCCCACCCTGTTCCCATCCCAATCCCACCCCATGCTCACCTGCTCTCCCTGGCACCCCGAGTGTTTCAGAGGGTCCCACCCTGTCTCAGAGGGGTGAGTGCTGCTCTTCCTTCCCAGCCCTTTCTCAAGCTTTTTCCCCCCTCCTCCCTCCAAACACAACAAAAGCCCCAAATCCCCCGCAAATGAGAAACCTCTTTTTGTTCCTCTTTTCCCTTTGCTTTCTGCCACGGCAGAGTATTGATTGGAGCTGATGTGCTGTAATCCTCCGTTTCTGTGAAAAGTTGGCATCCCAGAGTCCCTGGAGGGGCCGGATCCTGCCCCGGTGTGGGTCTTGCTCCTCTGCCAGGCTTGTGGATAGCAGGAAAGCTGCAGCCATCCCCATCCCATCCCATCCCATCCCATCCCATCCCATCCCATCCCATCCCATCCCATCCCAACCCAGGGAGGGCTGTGGAGAGATAGGGCTGACCCCAGCCTGAGAGGGGCTCACTGTGGGGTGCACAGCTGTCTGTGTGGGGTGCACAGCTGTCTCTGTGGGGTGCACAGCTGTCTGTGGGGTGCACAGCTGTCTCTGTGGGTCTGAGCCCTGGCTGGAGACCCCCCTGTGCCCACCCACCCACCCACCCAACTCCACCCTGCTGCCGCTCCATCTGTGCTTAATGGTGGCAAATGGGCTGGAGAGCTGGGAAGTCAGGGGAAAGAAACCCAGCCAAAAATCGCCAAAAAACACGGGGAAGATTTTAATTTAAAACCTTTTCCCACATGGAGAGCAGCAGCCTGGGCCATCTGGAGGAGCATATGCAGGTGAGGGGGGGCAGTGGAGCCTCCTCCAGCTCCCCTTGCTCTCAGCAGCCTCCAGAAAGGGCTTTGGGCTGGTGAAAACCAACCCAGGGCAGACCTGCGTACCCCAATCCCAAACATCAGCCTGGGGGAGCCCAGCTTTCCCTCCTGAGCTACCAATACCTCTCTGCTTAATTGCTGTATTTGCTGCAAAAGTGATGATGAATCCCAAAGCAAACTACAATAGCAGCCGAGTTTATTGCGAGAGATTAATTCAGCGGTTTAATCAAAACCACAGGAGCAGGATGGGAAAGCATCAGTGTGGGGCTGGGAGGAGGGGGTCAGGGTCAGCTCTGCTCAGCACCCACATCCACCCCTAGCCCCTGCAGTCAACGATGCCCAAATTAGCAGATTTACTCCTCAGGGGACTTCTCCATTGGTTGAGCATCACATCCAGCATCCCAAAGCCCCAAGTCTCCTAGCAACTCCCCAGCTCTGCCTGTGCCCACCCATTAACCCCTTCCCAAGCCCCCCCCACGCTGTGTGGAACACCCGGTGCTTCGAAGGCGTCGCTGCCACACTTGGGTGGGAGCAGGGATTTATGCAACAAATAAATCTGCAGGATGCTGGGAGGAAGCTCAGGATGCTCGGCTGGGTGGGAGAACCGGGCTGCTTAGCCAAGATTCAGAGTGTTTGATTCCAGGTGGCACAGAGAAACCCTCAGGTTTATGTATGGGTGGTTTGGTTTCTGAATGTCACGTTGGTTTTGGAGGTTTTATCCTCCTGACTTGTGGAGATGCTGGGGAAAGGTCAGGGAACCCCCAAATCATGGCCAGCCTGTGCAGCTCCCAGCTGGCATCGGCATCAGGAGAGGCTGAGCACGAGCCAGCCTCTTCCATTTCAACAGTAAATCAATGACACAGTTTCCTTGAGGACAGGATGGAAGGGAAATTTTCAAGGAAAATGGCCTTGAAAGTGTAAAATCACAGCAGGACATGGTGTGATGGCCAGGCCTGGGATGAAGGAAGTGGGGCTGCTCCGTGATGGTTTTTTCAGATGGCATGTCCAATACTTCCCTGCTTTTGCCTTTAGGCATCAGAAAGCAGGAAACCAGGGTTGGAAAAAATAGTAAGCTTTATGGTTGAAAAATAACAGTTGACATGGAAAAAAAGCCAAACAAGTTTGTTTTGGTTTTTTGGGTTTTTTTTTAACTGTCTTAATATATATAGATTGGGAAATGTACCCAAAGATCACGTGACACTGAAAAGGATAAATCACTTCTCTCACTTTAATGTGCTTTGTTGGGTTTTATCAGAAACATTGTCATAAAATTACCAAATTGAAATTTTAAATGGGGGGGAGAGAGGGGATATCTCGAGGCTTCGTTCTTGCTACTCTTTTCTTATTGCCAAATAAAATACAATTAAAGCAACATTTTCTATGCCAGCCAGCATCGCTAGCATCGCTTTTCTGATGGCATTTTTTTTTTCTGTCAGCCAATGAAAATAAATGATGCAGGATTACCAGGGAGCATGCAGCCTCCGTGGCTGGAGGGGGATGCGGTGCAGCAGGCATCCCAGTTGGAAACAGAAGGATTTTATTCCCGCGGGAAGTGGAAATCTCCAGGGATGTTTCCCACCGAGCTCTCTGCCGCCGCCTGGAGCGAGGCTTTGTTTTCCCTTTGCTCTCCCAGTTCCCACCAGTGCTTCCCAGTCTAACCCAGTCCTTGGCACAGCCACCTGGAATCAAACACTGAATCTTGGCTAAGCAGCCTGGCTCTCCCACCCAGCCGAGCATCCTGAGCTTCCTCCCAG